CTTGAATGGAGATGGAGAAGTAGACATGGAGGAATTTGAACAGGCAAGTTGTCCTGGAAAGTTCCTTTAAGTACATTAGTATTTAATACATTTTCATGTACTTTGGAGTTATTTTGGTCTTGGTCAGCGTACTCAGATGCTATCCAGTTTTTGAAGTACCTAATGTGTCATTTAAAAAAATCATCCTCACTTTTCACAAGTGGGTTTTGTTTGTTTGTTTTCACTCTAAATGTAAGGAGTTATTTGAGCATATGATGAAGATCAAAGTTCTTCTGATTCCCCAACATGAATTAGACTGATGCTGAGAGGAAAAATTTGGCTATTCAATCCTGTGTTTAGTCAATGCTTATTAAACAGCTCCTTTGTGCCAGGTAGTTCCAGAATATAAGGATATTCTGAAAGAATTTCTATAAGAGAAGGAAAAATGATGTCATGCCTTTGACTGTAGCAGGTCCAAGCCATAGATGTATACGTTTCTGATGAATCCTAGAAAGAGACTACATTTCCATAAAGCTTCTCTCATTGGTGGGCCATGATACCTCTTTAGATACAATGATTATGATTGTCAGAATGGTTTCAAAACAAAACAAAAAATATATATATGGATATGTAGGAGAAACCATTTTGTATTTAAAATAAGGAATGTAGCAAAAAGGAAATGGGAGAAAGTATGAGGTACAGTACATCTTTAAATAAATTCACAGAGACAAATATTTTTAAATACCTGGAGACATTTATTCAAATCTGCTCATTGTGTCCATTGAACACCTGCACTTTTCCATAATCCTGCACTTTACTGGTATTGCTAGGTGGCCTCAAATGATTATACATAGAACTTACCTTGGCATTTTTAAAATTTTATTTTATTTGGAGAGGGGATAGGGCTAATTTTATTTTCATTTGGACTTTAGTCGAGAAACACTGAATTTACCCCCTCACACCCCCCTTTTTCTTTTTTTTTTTTGAGTTTTTATTTTAATTCCAGTTAGTTAACATACAATGGCAATATTAGTTTCAGGTGTACAGTATAGTGATTCAAAACTTCCGTACATCACGCCGTGTTCATCACAAGTGCAACTTTAATCCCCATCACATATTCAACCCATCCCTGGATTTTATTTTATATAAAACTATTCAATTCTATTTTTATTGAGATTTTATTGATATAACATTGTATTAGTTTTAGATATAAAACAATGATTTGATCTGTGTATATATTACAAAGTGATTACCACAATAATTTTTTTCTTTTTTTTTTTTAAGATTTTATTTATTTATTTGACAGAGAGAGTGAAAGATGGAACACGAGCAGGGGCAGAGGGAGAGGGAGAAGCAGGCTTCCCACGGAGCAGGGAGCCTGATGTAGGGCTTAAATCCCAGGACCCTGGGATCATGACCTGAGCCAGAGGCAGATGCTTAACCAACTGAGCCACCCAGGCGCCCCGTTACAAATTTTTTTTTCTTGTAATGAGAATTTTTAAGATCTACTCTCTTAACTTTCAAATTTACAATACAAAACAGTGAATTATAATCACCAGGCTGTACATTAATCCCCAGGACTTATTTATCTTATAACTGGAAGTTTATACCTTTAGACCACCTTCACCCATGGGGACCCCTGCCTCTGTCAACCAACAGTCTCTTCTCTGTATCTATGAGTTTGGCCTTTTTTTTTAAGATTATATATATAAGTGAAATCATACTTGTCTGTCTTTGTCTGATTTATTTCATGTAGCATAATGCCCTCAAGGTCCGTCCATGTTAATCACAAATGGCAGAATTGTCTTCTTTTTTATGGCTGAATAATACTGTTTTATATATATATATATATATATATATATATATATATATATATATATAT